TACTAAGAAGAGAGTTGGGGCCAGGCACAATGGCTCATGCCTGTAATCCCAGCACTTTGGGAGGCCGAGGCAGATGGATCATTTGAGGTCAGGAGTTCGAGACCAGCCTGACCAACATAGTGAAACCCTGTCTCTACTAAATACACACACACACACACACACACACACACACACACACACAAATAGCCAGGCATGGTGGCAGGCGCGTGTAATCCCAGCTACTTGGGAGGCTGAAGTAGGAGAATCGCTCTAACCCAGGAGGCAGAGGTTGCAATGAGCCGAGATTGTGCCACTGCATTCCAGCCTGGGCAATAGAGTGAAACTCCATTTCAAAAAAAAAAAAAAAATGAGTTGGATTGCTGCAGATGAACTGACGAACAAACTAGTTTTAAAAATTTTTTTTTGAAACTGGGTCTCACTCTGTCACTCAGGTTGGAGTGCAGTGCTGCGATCTTGGCTCACTGAAGCCTCAAATTCCCAGGCTCAAGTGGTCCTCCCACCTCAGCCTCCTGAGTTGCTGAGACTACAGGTGCATGTCACCAAGCCTGGCTATTTTTTTAAAAAATTTTCTGTAGAGACAGGGTCTCATTATGTTACTCAGGCTGGTCTTGAACTCCTGAGGTCAAGGATCCTTCTGCCTCAGCCTCCCAAAGTGTGGGGAATACAGGTGTGCTTGGCTCAAACTAATGATTATACATAAAAAAGCAGGTAAATAAGTACAACAAAGACTATTACTAACAAAAAGGTGTACAAGAAAGGAAAATTCATCATAGTATACTAAATAGTTCTGCTGTCAATAATTTTTACATAGTTACAATAATGCAAATACTGAATAATGATCTAACCAAAATTATAACCAACTGAGAGGATGAGAAAAGAAGAAGTATGAAATGTGTGTTGAGGGCAGATGTGACTATATCTTAAATGATGGGAAATCAAAAGATAATGACTAAAACTGGAAAATAAAAAGTAGCCTTATAAGAATAGTATTTAGAAATACCATATAATCAGTTACAGGTATTGAAAACAATTGGCTCCTGGGAGAATATTTCTTTATTTTTTATTTATTTTATTTTTTTTGGAGGAGGAGGGTTCTGGAATCAGGAAACTGCTGGTTTTTATAACAAGTCTTCTACAACTACCTTACTCTTTAAACTACATACATGTGTTTCTGATTTTAGAAATATACACATTTTAAAGATGTTAATTAATCCCATTTATATACATTTTTAACACATACAAATGTTTAGAAGATGACTGAAATTTCTTGAACACTTACTATGTGCCTGGTATTGTTCTAAGTGCTTTACATGTATTCAAATATGTAATCATTGCAGTAACCATCAGGGGATTGGTGCTATCATTGTCCCCATCTTATGGGTAAGTAAACTGACCTGCAGAGGAGTGAAATAATTTGTCACATGTTCCATAGCCAAGAAGGGACATACCAGGATTCAAACTCAGTCTGGCTCCAGCCGCATACTATTACCTCCTCAAATAAAACACAGACAGGATATTTCTCAAAATCATGAGAGTAGCTGCCACCAATAAAGAAAAGGAATGGGATTGGGAATGGGTAGAAAGTAGACTTAAACCTTATCTGAAATTGTTTTTTCTTTTCAAAAAAGAACTACAGTGAGTATGACAAATTGTTAACATTTGATACTGGGTGGCAGGACCATGTATGCTGTATTATTCTCTGTGGTATCTACTATTGTAAAATGTTTACTCATAGAAAAACTTGAAGCCAGGCATGGTGGCTCACGCCTGTAATCCCAGCACTTTGGGAGGCTGAGGTGGGTGGATCACCTAACGTCAGAAGTTCAAGACCAGCCTGGCCAATATGGTGAAACCCTGTCTCTACTAAAATTACAAAAATTATCCAGGTGTGGTGGCATGTGCCTCTAATCCCAGCTACCTGGGAAGTTGAGGCAGGAGAATAGCTGGAACTCGGGAGATGGAAGCTGCTGTCAGCAAGACTCCATCTCAAGAAAAATAGAAGAAAAAAACACTTGAATAAGGGCAAAAGAATTTATCATTCACCTTAATGATTGATGGGTTAAAAATCCAAGCTAGGATCCCCCTGACGTTAGCTGTGTAACCTTGGGCAAGTTGCCTAAACATTCTCTATTTCAGTTTCCCCTTCTGTTAAACAGGACCAACAGCAGTACCTACCTCCTGTAGTTGCTATAATTAAATGGTGAATGCTTGTAAAAGTACCTGCCACTTAGTTGTCTGCTACTACTAATACTACTGCTGTATTTGTTATCCAAGCATTTATACTGTTGTTTCTTTTCTCTTTGCTGACTAGATTGTAAGCTCCAAAAAAAACAAGGACCTCAGGTGTAACTCCAGTGCCAAGAACGGTGCTTTGGCAAACAGCAGTTGCTCAAATAAATTTGTGAAATAGATGTTGACCTGTGATGACAGAGAACTGCCTGTACTTTCCCCTGCAGCTGTCATGCTATTTCACTTCTCAGTCTGTGCTTTTGTTGGTCCTTCTGCCTGGAAGTTCTTACCCATCTTGATGCCTCAGCTCAAGCATCAGGTTTCCCAGAAAGGCTTCCTTGAGGTTAGGCTACATGCTCCTCCTCTGCATAGCTACAATGCCTAATACAAAATTCAATCTTAACATATGCTGTATTAGACTGAGATGACGTTTGTGTATCTGTCTACCCCCACAAGAAGCAGTCAAGCATAGGAAAGATTAAAAGCATCAACTCTGGAGCCAAACTGCCTACTTTTGAATCCTGGATGTGTGACCTTGAGCAAATCAATCTATAACTCGGTTTCCTGGTCTGTACAATGGGCATGATAGCACCTATCTCAAATGGTTCTTGTGAGGATGAAAATAATTTGCATTTGTATCTGTCCAGCACTCAGAAGTCTCCAGCACCTAGTGAATGTGAAGTAACTATGTTAAATTATGTTATAAAAATCTCCTTGACAGACACAATGTCTTGCTCATCTTTATACTTCCTCAATGCCTAGCACTCTGTAGGCGCTGAATAAAAGTTTAAATGTTTACTGCACTGACAGCTATTACACTAGTCCAAACAAAACGATTAGTGCCCAAACTAAGATAACAGCAATAAAGATGGAGAAAGGGTGATAGGTGTGAGACACGCTTGGGGGAAATAAATCAACAGAACGTGCTGCATGATTAGAATGAGATGGGTCATAAAGAAGATAAAGTTCAGGATGACAGCTAAGTTTCTCACCAAGATAGGGAATATAAGGGAAGCAAGAAGAAAAAGCAGAGTTCCTGGCAATTTTGTTTATTTATTTTTGAGACAGAGTCTTGCTCTGTTGCCAGGATGGAGTGCTATGGCACGATCTTGGCTCACTGCAACCTATTACCTCCCAGGTTCAAGCGATTCTCCTGTCTCAGCCTCCCGAGAAGCTGGGACTACAGGCATGCACCACCATGCCCAGCTAATTTTTGTATTTTTAGTAGAGATGGGGTTTCACCATGTTGGCCAGGATGGTCTCAATCTCGAGTGCTGAGATTACAGGTGTGAGCCACCGTGCCCGGCCTCTGGCAAATTTTTAACGAAAAGCTTCATTCACTATTTAACGAAATTTAAAAACACTTTAAGAGCTTTTAAGAGCACCACACTTAAAAAAAAAAAATGTAAACTCTAATGAACCATGACAGAAACCTGGCACACAACATCAAAAAGAATTTAAACTCCATGAAGACAAGGACTTTTTCTGTTTAGTTTGCTGCTTTACTTCTAGCACCTGTGACAGTACCTGTACATGGTCACACACACACACACACACACACACACACACACACACACGAACAAATTTTGGTAAAGTGGGGCTAGACTCTAAAAAAGCCAGATAGAGATGAATAGCAAATATAATGCCAACTTTCTCTGAAGTCTTTCCTTATTTTCCCCATTCCTATAATTAATTGGTTCCTGTTCCAGAACTCTGAACACTGTGTTCCTTCTGTTAAAATCCTTATTCCACTGAATCATTACTACTGGTATACATACCAACTGCCCTAGCAGACTCGAAGCTACCTGAGGACAGGAAACTGTCACCTGTGTATCCCACATGCCCGGCACAATGCCAGGCACACAACTAACATATGAATGTGGGGCTAAGAGAGAGGATGTATATATTTTTAATAGTCACTAGATAACTTTGTAGGTGTCAGGGTACAGGGATAAGATGAAATAGATTTAAAGATTTGCCTCAGGTTTTACTGTAGTTTTGAGTCTTATGGAAATTAAAACTGGATAAATAAAACTTAATTTCATCTCCAGAGTCCAAAAAATTTGACTGAGTCTCAAATTATAAGCTCTTTATGTAAACATTCCAATAGTGTTAAAAATATGTTTTGCAGGTTTATTATTACCAATCTTTGATACAGACAAAAGCTCAAATCATAGAATCTGAAAATCAAGCAAAACAAAATCTTAACTAAAATTCACCGTTTTTACTGATTCAAAAAACAAAAGGATTTATGTTGAAGAAGATCAGTGTACTACATGAACATGAAAAGGTATGTCAAGGCACACTGCAAAAATAGGTAGTCTAAAGCCAAGAACATTCTATTCATTTGAAGTAAGCCCTTCAAAACTCTGGTATGAAATCTCTCTGTTCATATTATGTGCTGTACTGTACAAAGTATGCTTATAATAACCCGATAAAAACATTTTAAACTAAATGAACCATATGACCTGATCATATGTTATCGTATAGCCTTCCAGTTAGAAAAACAAATCTCAGGAGAAATCCGTTTGCTTCTAGACAACATATTTTAGACCATCTTCAACTAAAACTAAAACCATATTTTCTCAACAGAAAAAGCTTTCAGCTAAAAAATCATGAGGCATACTTAAAATCTAAAAGGAACACATAACATAACTTTTTGGATGCTTAATAAGCAGCAATATGCCTCTCTGTAAAATAGTCTAAATCAGCTAGAAAAGTAGCACTGCATTTGTAGCCAACAGGGATCACAATTAAGCTAAAGAAAGACATGTTTTTCTTGTCATCTTTATTCAAGTATTTCACAGCAGTTATATTACAAATTACAGTAAATGTTCAAATTCCAGAATTCAAAAATTAAATAATTTACTTCAACTAATGTAAAATGAAGTCAAATGCAAAACATCAATTTAACACAACTCTAAATTAAAACTACAAACCCAAAATAGACCATAGTTGATGAAGTCTACTTAAACTACAAAGTAGACATACATGACTGAAACCAAACGGGACTCCCAAAGTCTAAGTAACCAGATGTACAGAATACGAAAGATGCAGGTACAAGTCCAAATTCAAGCTTACAATGTGATTACAAATAATTATAATAACAATGGCATTCAGCTACGGGACCTGACACTGAAGATACCTACTGAATAGCACCATAGCTGAACCAACTTAATCAAAAATAGGAAGAAATTACCAACCCACTCCCTAAAAATAAAATCCAGTAAACCTACAAATACATTGGCTTATGAGAAAAATCAAGTCATGAAACAACATTTAAAAAAAAAAAATCACAGGTGAGATTCAAGCTCAAAAACACAATTAACTCCACAGCCATCAGTTTCAACCCTAGTGTGGTTCCATCATCTTTAAAAAGCTCCCAGGGTCCCCACAGCTGAGCATGAACTATTGCTGGGCTATGCTGTGATACATATTTTACTCATCTGAGAGCAAGATTTTACATAGGAGCTTATCATTTATAATGCTCACAATAGGAAATAAGAACAGAGGTCAATTTGTACATATTTTTTGCCAATGCTATACAGCAAAAATGAAGAACTTACAGAAAAGTAAACAAAATTGAGTCCACTTAGATAATTTCACAAGCTGCTTTAAACTATAGAACCACCAGATACCTGTAAAATAAGCAAAACTGGTACATTTGTTTTTTTGTTTTTTTAATTGAGGGAAAGAAGGCCAGAGGAGTTGGAACAATTTCAGCTCATTTTTCTCCCCTTGGCATTAGATTGACTTTCTCTTTAAGACCTAAACTGTTCGAAGTGGCAGTTCCTATACTGAGGTTGCCTCCAATTATTCCATCTACATTAAGGTTAAAAAAACAAACAAAAACAACTTGATCTTTTGGAAGCATTTTAATGCTGAAAATAAATACATTTCCCTTGTCAAATTCACTGATGGCTAAAATCTTAATTGTACAAATTGAGTAACCTACTAAGAAACGTGTGCGTTTTTTTCCTTTCACAAGTGCTGCTGTTACTTGAACAGAATGTTTCTGAATTAGAATAACTGGAATAAATATTTAAAAAAAAATAGTGCAGCAAGAACCTGAGACTTGCAAAAAACCCTTTTACCAGTAACTTGCTACAAAAAATCTGCTACATCTTATTTCATCAAATCTTTAAATTCTGTAACAATTTCCATCAAAATACAAAATGCTAATGTATTAGACAATAAAATAGTTTGAATTGGTATGATGGTAATAAATACTAAAGAAAGCATGAAAATCCTCCCAATAATCAAATTAGAGGTTTCAAATAACCTCCCCTTTAAAATGGTTCATCGTTAATCGCACTTGCCCACCTTAAAAATACAGTGTGTCTACATGGGTAGCATCTTGACTTATATGACTAACTGAATATTACAAAAACTTCACAGACTAGGTACAAAGAAAACACATGGCATTAAAAAAAATTAAGCTAGGATTAGAAGGCGTTAGACGTAAATGTAAATGCAAAGAAGCACTTTGGATTACTGCAATAGGCTATGGCCAAAGTATGCTTTCTGCACACTACAAAGAGCCAGAGACAAGGAGACAAGTACCTTAGCTTCAGGATGTAAACGGTGGCAAAGTGATTACAGAACTCTGTAAACACTGTTGGTAACTAAAATACAAAAAGCTGAGGTAGCTCAGAATCTCTGCAGTAGTCCAAGACCATTTGCCCTAATTAAAACCCAAACTACATGTGTTGCATATATTGAAAAGACACACCTGCAGCTAACGGCTACAATGAATGAAGATATCAAGCGAACTTGTCGGCAAAATTTTCTACCTTTTTGTTTAAAAATCATCTGATAAAAAACGTCACTGCACCCTTTGTCTCTTTGCAACTGCCTAGACTGTGTTTCCAAATTTGTAGAAAGTTTTGTAAAACTAGTAATGCATAATTAATTTCAGATACGTACAATTCACAGAAATCACTCAACAAGATTCAAAATGGTTTCCAATCAAAATGAAGAGCTGTGAAGGTAAGCTTACGAGGTGGGATCTAAACATTAATACTGTTATTCAAGGGCCATACCAGAGCTCACTTGCAATTAAGCACACAGAAAATGAATTTTATGGAGCTTCTGACGAATTCCTCTCTTTTCTGTCCATTTGGCAAGTCCTGGCTTTAAAAGAAAATATCAATTTACTACATATGAAAATCATTTTTCTCTGGGAACTCAAACATGAATAACTATTAAATTGCCACTGGCAGAAGAAAGAATGGCCACTATCTATTTATTTTCTAGTCATCATTGTCAGCAATACCAAAAAGTGTGGAGTTTTGTTTTGTTTTTTTGTGTGGACTGTGTATTATTCGTTGTTGTTACTACATATTTCTTAAACCGAAATAGACCTTACAAGAAAACTTACCATTTTAGTATATTATGTGGCTTACTGGGTGTCTTGATTGAGCTTTGAGAATAAGACAGGCATTTCAGACCCAAACAGTGGTTGTCTCTTAATGACACAGAGTATCAAAACTTATTTCCAAGGTTGTGACCAAAGAAAGCTTTCTAATTTACTTGCTTCAAACAGCCCATCCTTTTAGCCTTATCTTCCTCAAATGAATAAAAAGGCACGTTAAAGGCAGTTCTAAAGAGCCTGACCTAATTTCATCCAGTTTCTTCAGCTTCCCACCAGAACAGACCATAGCCAACTCTAAAACACGTTTCAGTCCATTACCCAGATGGGGGGAAAAATTATTAAAGGGGTAAAATGTAGAAAAAAAGATTAACAAGTTGCCCACTGTTTAAACAATTCATCACAGTTAGAGCTGCCCCATCCAGTTTCCTCCTGTTTGCTGGTCTGCTCCCTAAGAGAGGAGTCTCCAAAAGAGAGTGCACGAAAAGAGGAGCAGAAGCGAGAGCAGTTTCTGTAGCACCAAAATCTCCAAGCTGTGGGGTTGTATTTTTTATTTGTGGAAAATACAACATGTTTCTGAAGTTCTGTTTGGTTCTTGTAGGCTGGTTGGTTTCAGGTACCTGAGACAATAGCACCAAATTCAACAGAGAGAAAGAATGAGTAAGAGAGCACTTTACACCAAGGCTCTGCACATAATTGGTGCAATTTGAAATTGAATGGCTCAGAAGACTGCTCTGTCAGGAGCAGATTGGAGAGGATAAACCACTCATCTTGTAAAGTTCATAGGAATGTCTCAAACATATGAACTGTTCTTTCCATCTCCTAAAAAAGGAAAAAAAAAAGCATGTTATCTGTTAAGGGAAAAACAAAAGTGTTCCTCATTATGGAAGAATTCACTTTAAATTTTTAGGGAATGAATTTGAGATACAGGTTCAACTTTGAATACTTTCCTGATTACAGTATCATAGCTAATTAAGACTATCTGCCCTAGACACTTCCAAGTACCTCCAATTTTATATTTAGTGTAATAAGGATGATGATGATAGTCACACTCAAAGAATAACATTATGCCAATAATATCAGTATGAGGTATAAGTAATATGAATATAAGGATGATGATAGCAACACTCAATGATTAACCTAGGCCAGATATTTACTAGGAACTTTCTATATATAAAATACATAAATATAAGTAAATATTTGTATTTATATATATGCATATAATTTATATATATAGTTTTACTCCCATAACAACACTGAAAGTTGAACATAGGTATTCCTATGAGGCCCATTTTACAGATTAAAAAAACTGAGGCACAGAGGGGATAAATAATTTGACAGCTAACAGATGGCAGTCAGGATTTGAATACAGGCAGCCTCACTCCGGACACTAAGCCCTTCCTTCTTCATTATATTTCACTAACTCCCAAAGCAAAATGACTGCATTCTACATAGCAAAACTTATGCCAAAAAGCAGAATGCATTGTGTCTCCAATTCTATTCACTCCAACCAGAGCTGAAAAGACAGGGGGAAAAAAGCCAGAATGGGTGGCTTCCATCACCACCACCATGAAAGCCACTCGTTGCTGATTCTGCTATCAATCCCTTCCCTCCCTAAATTAGGCCTTTAGATTTTTAGGGTTCCACAGAGATGTTTCACTGGTGAGGAGTATTTACTGCATTCAAGCTAATAAAACTACAACCATATGAACAAAGAAGTTCTAGAATGTAAAAAATGTGAAGAACTCTACCCCGCACATTTTACTCAGGTGGGCAAATGTCAAATACATCTAAGACACTTGCACTTTTTCCCTCCCTTAAAACAGCTCCAAAGAAATTCTATTCTATGTCTCTACAGAATTAATAGGCTGTATTAACAGATCATCATCTGATCAACAAGTTCTTCTATGTGATCGACAAAAATCACTCCTGCTAAATGTTTTATCATATATTGCCAAATAAGAAAAGAAAATCAAATTATAAAACAAAACATACAATATGACCCCAATTTAAAAATACATATATACACTTATACAAATGGCATGTACATCTAGACATTTTAAAAGGTTAGAAGATATTCTAAAAGATTAATACTGACTAGTTCTCTCTAGATCAGGCGTCCCCAAACTTTTTACACAGGGGGCCAGTTCACTGTCCCTCAGACTGTTGGAGGGCCGCCACATACTGTGCTCCTCTCACTGACCACACTTCCTGAAGTGTGGCGGGGGGCCCGATAAATGGCCTCAGGGGGCCGCATGTGGCCCGCGGGCCGTAGTTTGGGGACGCCTGCTCTAGGAGGTGGCATATAAGTGATGCTTTTTTTTCTCATTTGTGTTTTCCTGTGATGTCTATATATTACATGACTTAGTACAGCTTTGTAAAAATGTGATTACAAAATAATTTTCAAATGTGCACTTGCTTTGATTCAAATGCCTTATTCTTTATTTTTGCATGAAAAATAACTATATCCTTTACATATAAATCTTTAATATACTAAAAATATTCCTTGATAGCAGATATTTTGTCTTACTCTTTTTTTTTTTTTCCATTTCAAACACCTAGCATAGACCACCAGATAAACAAGCTAACAGGCAAATGAACAAAGAGAGTTGAATTAAGTCATTCAGCCATTTTGTGGGTAGATGAGTGATTACATTTGCTCAGATTACCTGAAAAAGCAGAAGTGTGGTTTAATGATGGAAATTATATAAACAAAGATATAAGCTTAAGCTCATATTTATATGGGAAGAAGTTCTCTCGGTTCAGAGTTGTCTAGAAAAGGAAAACTCCATCTCTAAAAGCATCTAAGCAAAAGGACAGTCACTCCTTCATATGGCTAATTTGCAGGAGTAGATTTGACTAAACAAGATGACTTTTGATCTGTCAATTAATGGCAAATAGGTCTCAATGCCCGTGCCAATACCTTTACATCAGCAGTGGCTGCCTAGGAAGCAGTGATAAGGAGTGTGGGACCATGACCACATCCAACAAGCCCAAGCGATAGGCTCAGTAGGCATGTCAGTTATAAGCAAGTAAGCAGAGAATTGTAACATGCTATTCCTACATATTTACCAACCTAGAACCATGGATTTCTGTTTTGACAAAAAAGGAACCCCAGATTACGTCTTTCCAGAAACAAAATGGTACGGAAAGCCTTTATTCTTCAAACTATAACTCTTAATGATTCTTCTTACCTTAAATCTTCAAAACATTCTTTAGTTGCTTGGTGAAAGACATAGATGTAGGCAAAATAACTTTCAAGTAAAAGCACATTATTTGTATTCTACAAATAAACTAAACACTTACCTCTACAAGTTGTGATTTGTCATAATCTTTACGATGACGGTAGATGCACTGACTAAGAAGAGAATATAATCTCTCAAGCTGATCAACTGCCAGATTGTTGCTTTTATCTACCAACAAATCAAGCAATTTCTAAGAAAAAATAGAAGAAAAGAGAATAAAATGTAATTTGATTTCACTGGTCAAACTGAAATTGGATATTCAAATGGCTATACAGTAAGCACCATAAAGCTAGAATGTACAGTGAACATGAGGTTAAAAGATTCAAGAGCTTGCAACTATTCCCTTAGACTATCTTGGACTATTCCCGTATCTTTCAACTCCTTAAAATACACAACTTTTTTTTACTAGAAGCTCTGAGGCATTTGTAGTCCAGGGTTAAAGCAGGAAAACTAGTTTTATTCAACTGCCTAAAAACACATTCAAATCTCCATCCATTCATTTAAAACTGGGAATAGCTAAGCTTACCTTTAATCTCTCACGATCAACTATAAGAGGAGGCACAGGCTCAGATGGCTCTTCTGGAACCAGTTCCAGGCTTGTCGTTTTTGCCTGCTCTAAAATTAATTTACGGTATTTCTTTACTTTAGAAGCACCTATAATTGAGACAAAAAATACACTGCAGCAAGTAAAAGTTAAGAAAAATCAGTCTGAAGTGACAATAAATTATTTTACCCACCACAAATCCCTTTTGGAATGAGGAAGGATATATTCCTAAGCGATTTTTTTTTAAAGCAACCCCATGTGGTAATTTTTTTTTTTTAATTGGTAAGACTAGGTAACCCAAATTAAAGAAAACTAAGCTACAACTTAAGCCAAGCCAGCTGGTGGCCCACACCTGTAATCCCAGCACTTTGGGAGGCCGAGAGGGGCAGATCCCGAGGTCAGGCGATTGAGATCATCCTGGCTAATGTGATGAAATTCCATCTCTACTAAAATATAAAAAATTAGCCAGGCATGGTGGCGCACGACTATAGTCCCAGCTACTCGGGAGGCTGAGGCAGGAGAATCCCTTGAACCCGGGAGGTGGAGGCTGCAGTGAGCCAAGATCCAGCCACTGCACTCCAGAGCAAGACCTTGTCTCAAAAAAAAAAAAAAAAGTCAAGTCATACTAGAATATCACCTAATAGGGCCAGGCGCGGTGGCTCAAGCCTGTAATCCCAGCACTTTGGGAGGCCGAGGCAGGTGTATCAAGAGGTCAAGAGATCGAGACCATCCTGGTCAACATGGTGAAACCCCGTCTCTACTAAGAATACAAAAAATTAGCTGGGCATGGTGGCGCATGCCTGTAATCCCAGCTACTCAGGAGGCTGAGGCAGAATTGCTTGAACCCAGGAGGCGGAGGTTGCAGTGAGCCGAGATCGCGCCATTGCACTCCAGCCTGGGTAACAAGTGAAACTCCGTCTCGAAGAAAAAAAAAAAAAAAGAATATCACCTAATAAGCATATCTGCAAAAAGAAAGATAAAAGCAGTCTTCACCTCTAAGCGCTCATTTAAAAACAGTCTTCACTCCATGACAATGACAGCTATCATTTTACAACTGGGAGCTTTCAGAACCAGAAGAAGTGAAGCAACCTAGAAAAGCAGATACTAACAAAAGTGGGGCCCACCTGTCTACACATTTGCCTCCCAGCCTAAAACATTCGCTTCAGCATTGCCTGAAATTTCTTATCTTTCTGTTACACTGCCTAAAATTCTATTAGAAATTGATTCAGAGTTTAACATTTTTTTCTTAAAAATATAAACCCACTAAAAGTGTAAAAGGACTGGTGTTCTTTCCTACCTTAGAGTAAATTAGTATAATCTAATTACTTTCCTTCTAACATTTTGCTGAGACCAGCCACACTAAACAAACAAATTTTAATGTGGCTAAGCATAATTTCACGGACCCAGGCACTTAGAGAGGTCAAAAGGGTGGGTAGACCATGAAGCCCTATGCTCCCCTAAGTAGGACTCTAAAGAAGAGGCTGAGGGAAGGAACACAAAGACAAACTTAGATTGTTTCAGAAATTCATACAGGATGTGGCCCATGTCAGGGACACTAAGGAGACCGTGTTTATTAAGTGTCCCAATGCAGGGACCCTGCCTCCATCCTGCATTAGTCCTTTTACTTCTTACTCCCAAGTTTTTTAACTCTTCCTTGTCAACAACTGCTTTATTTATAACAGCAAAAGAACCACCAAAGTGTTGCCTTCAAAAACATGTATCATGATAGATCAGAGAAATTTTATATTTCAGGCTGCCTTTAATGTGAAAGACTTAATAGTTCAATTACTATATGCTAAGAGTTTTGTTAAAATCATACTGATCCTCATTACTACATCCATGGACTTCCAGAGGCCTAAAAACTCAGATTAGGATACTGTCCTGATAATTCCAAATGAAAGCTTCAGGTCAAACTTTTACACAATAATTACCTTTATAGTTTTTAGATCACCAACTGAACACAATATTAATTTAGGCCTTTTTCAGCATGCTTATAGAAATCAGCATTAAAATAGATTTCTCTATCTCCCACCCATTTGGCCTCATACCAGATTCCTTTTCCACTTTTCCCATGCTGTCATATTCATTACTTAACCATAGCTTTAACATATTTTTAAAGTTCTGTCTATCAGTTAGCCTAGAATGAATACTGCTCTGAAAACTATTTTAGTATTAAATATTGAAAAGTTCAATAGGTAGCATTTAAGAACAGCAAGTCTCTCTTTATTCACTAAAGGAATTCTTAGACTTTGAATAATATTTTCCTGCTTCCTAACTCTGCTAAAGGACTTAAAATACTGGCACGAAAAAAAAAAAAACAACCACCACCCTTTTCCCACATACCCCAAATCCCAGGCTGAAGCTGTGTACTCCACACAATTTAGAGAAAATAATGTAATTTCAAGATACCCTCCTATAAGAGCACCTAACCAGGAAGGAAATGTATATTGAGCAGGGTAGATATTAACTCACCCCAGACCCTGCTTTGGACTAAAGAATAATGATAAAGACAGCCTAGAAACCCTTAACTTCCTCTTTCTTCTGCTTCTTAAAAGAATCATGTAGCCATAAAAAGTCAGAAGCTGGGAGAATACTCTGATTCCCTAAGAACAAGGTAAACTTGACAATGAGCACTCTGCTTCTTTCCTTCACCACTGGACTTACAAAGCAATGACGGCTGTTAGACTGAACAGCCCTTGGATTCAACTAACAATGACTGCCTGGAATGAATATACCTTAGTATGGGCCAGTTACCATGAGAGACAATTAAAATACACTATTATTTAATCCCTGCAACACCATTCTGAAGTTCAATTTCCTAGATGAATAAATAGGCTTGGAGAGTGTAAATAACGAGCTCAAGGTCACATGATTATAGTGAATAGGAGTGGGAATTTAACTTAGGTCTATATTGCTCTTCCGAATATATCCTACTGCTCTTATGACCAAGTCTTCTCTGCCCACACTCAGCCCATGCCAATAATTCTTCCTGGAATTCCATCTTCTTAACACTTGTGGATTTACTCAGCTTTCAGTCAGAAATCCCTGAGGCTAGGGGTGAAAATCAGGCAAGAGGCAGAAGAGCAAGTGGCCAGTAAAGCAATGCATTTGCAATGACACCCGCTTTGAAACTTACAGCAAAATTGGGTGTGTGTGTGCGTGTGTGTGTGCACGCGCATGCAAGCGATTTTCTAGAGAGAGGGGTGAAATTTTAACAGATTCTCAGAGGGTTATAATTATTCATCAACTTTTACTACTGGGAACCAGATAAAATATGTAATGAATTAACTCTGGAGTTTAAACCTTCAGAAGATTTTTCAAATATTAGCTCTACCTTCTTTATCCAGTTCTGCATCTTTAACCTCCACATCAGGGCCAGGTTCTAACTTCTCATTATTGCTACATTCCAGTGCCTCTAGTTTCTCAGGATCATCTCCATGATTTTCAATCGAAGTTTCTGGTTTTTCCTTTGACTGGTCCTCCAGAAGAATCTTTTGTTCAGAACTACGTTTATCTCCACTATCACAGAAAGAAACTACTTCAAGCTTGCCATTCTGACACTCCAGAACTGGTATTCCTTCAAAACTGTCAGTGGAAGCCTCACCATTTAGACAGTTTCCTTTAAGGAAAGCCTCTTTCCTGGAGGTCTGCTCCGGGTTTAAGGAACTGCTGCTGTTGACGAGTAGAGATTCATTTGAACTTTCCTCCTCAGTAGATGCAAAGTTCTCTTTTGTGCCTGCTCCGTTGTTAAGCCTCTGCCCCTGGTCCATGTCCATGATGTCACAGGATGATTCGTCATTGGTCATAGATAAGTCTCCAGTCTCTTCTCCATTTTCCTCATGACAGTCAGTGCTTACCTCAAACTCTCCATTCTCTAGCAATTTCCTGTCCTCTGTATGGTTCTCATAGTCTGCAAATTTGGTGTCTTCTTCATCTTTTTTTAAATTATTAACTTTCCTTTTCTTAATAATTCCTTTACCCCACTGTGATCGCCTCCTTGATTTTCTCCGAACCCGAACTGTTTTACAAGGAAGGAAAAAAGATAGGTAGAACTTGGAATGCAATATCAATTTTACATGTTTATTAAACAGGACCCAAAAGAAAGTAAACCCATGCTGATGTAACACACAAACAAAAACTACTTAGCTCTTGACATCCATGCTGACTAACTCTTGCAACCTACAAGTGGAATGGATATGTCAGGCATGAACTCTGCAGAATAAAAAAATTTTTTTAATTTATTTCCTGTATGAGTTTACTCAGCACTAACCTTTTCTACTATCCTAGATCCTACTTTAGGACTATTCCTAATTTTCAACATCCAGAAGCCACGCACATAATATACACATTTAAAGAATGACCACACTGCCATGCTGCCAGAAAGTCTGGGGCCAAAGCCTTGGATTTCCACCAGGAAGACGGATGTTTTGCTAGCAAAAGGTAGCTCCTAAATCATGAAGGAAAATAAAGACATGATTCAATATAGCCTAACAGAACAGTTAAGGGTATCCTCACAAAGAAATCTCTCCTTCCAGAAAAAGTAATCACCCACAGTAAGTATGACAATGGATAGATGCCTTATGAAAGTTATTTGGACAATTTGGTGAGCCAACTGTTAATCTCTTCTAGCACAAACAGTTTACCCAGCAGCATCAATTTCTTGCGAAGTTATTTGAGAATATGTAGGAAAATTAAGCCCTCTGCTATCAAGGCAACAACAACAACATAAACAAAACAAAACAAGACCGAAAATAAATACTCAGTCACCTATGTGAAAAGGGAGGCCTCAAAAGTTGTAAGAACTATACTCTTAGATGTTAGAAATTATCATGAGCTTTATGAGTAGGCAGCTGGGGCCTCCAAGTATTAATGGACCCTGGAATTTTTAATTTATCACATATATATCAAATTGAGGTAGATGGTTAAGCAAGTCTACCTCATTGTCCCTTAAATAAACAAAAAGTTAACTTTTATTTAAAAATTTGGGACACTTGCATAATACAATTAAATGTTCTTCAGAACACTTAAATACAAAAATTATTAAAGCAAATAACTTAAGCTAGAGCTGAATCACTTCTGGTATCTAACCCCAATTCTAAATACTAGTGTGCTGAAAGAATCAGAGAATAAAAATACTCATTTTCTCTGTGGTTATAAACATAATAATTTTAACTTAAAAAACCACAATATATATGTTTAATATGTCATAGCTGAAAAGCTTCCTGGACAAAGATATTTTTTAAAGAAAATATATGCTGGGCGTGGTGGCTCATGCCTGTAATTCCAGTACTTCGGAAGGCCAAGACGGGTGGATTACAAGGTCAGGAGATTGACACCATCCTGGCCAACATGGTGAAACCCCGTCTCTACTACAAATACAAAAATGAGCTGGGTGTGGTAGTGCACACCTGTAATCCCAGCTACTTGGGAGACTGAAGCAAGAGAATCACTTGAAACCAGGAGGCGGAGGTTGCAGTGAACCAAGGAACCAAGCTTGTGCCACTGCCTGTTTCCAGCCTGGCAACAGAGACTGTCTTTAAAAAAAAAAAAAAAAAAGGAAAGAAAAGAAAAAGAAAACATAAATACAAAATCACTAACTGTAGGCTGTTTAATTCATAGTTTTAAAACTTTATAGAGACAGAAAAGAATATGGTCTTTTAATGACAATCCTTGTTTCTTATATTCACACTGTTGAATATGAATTTAGAATCTATCAACAGTGTATACTGTGTTTACATACTTCATCCTTTCATCTTTAATCCCTACTTCATCTCTGTAAATTCAACAACCTATTCACAAGAAATTCACAAGAAATGGATAAATTTAGTTATAAATATTACTCTTCTTTCTTATCTAAGAATGTATCTTCGAAAGGTTTCTGAAATCATCTCCAAAATTCAAGCTATTTAGTCATTTGGCTTAACATGTATTTTTCCTTCTTCCTTCAAAACTGTAACCCTGCTGGCACTACCTTTTCATTCTTTTTCCTTATTAATTTCTATTTTTACAATTTAAAGTTACAGGATAATTAGCATAGAGAAGAAAATTTCTGTATTAATCTACTATTAAAAGCTGGTACACAGGCTCACGGGATAGGCATTTGTGAACATCCCATTAACTACAAGAAAAACTAATCTAGTCCATATAAAAAATGAAAAGCATTCAGCTTGCTCTGACTCTGAAAGGTACAGCTACTACGTTTTTACTACCTTACAGGCCATTCCTGACACTGTAACCTCTCTTATTCTCCAACCATGTAACTGAAAGCACAATAGGTTTCTTTTTCTTTCCTAAGCCATGAACCTAGAGCAAAATGAAGCTGAACTCTGCTCAATCAAGAATCACCTCAATTACCTGACATGTAGTACACTAAGCAATGGCTGGAAGTCCCACTGAAGCAAGTTACTCCAGGATGCTTTCATCCTGGCTAATACTATGAGAGAAAATATTCTTAATCTTTGGGAAGGAGGATTGGAGATATTTCTCTCTTCCTTATATAATTATTTCTAATGGTTGATATAATTTTGGCAAAATAAGAGAAACAGATCACATTAGCTCCACATGAAGAGATTTTTGTTTTAGTCACTGATATATCTTCATCATATCTGGCAAGTGGCAAGAGTATATATTAGTATTTGTTGACTTAATGCTTAATATCCCACTAAGTCCTTTCTCAAACTTTCTCACATTAGTGGCTCATGCCTGTAATACCAGTGCTTTGGGAGGCCAAGACAGGCGGATCACTTGAAGTCAGGAGTTTGAGACCTGCCTGACCTGGTGAAACCCCATCTCTACTAAAAATACAAAAAATGAGTTAGGCATGGGGGTGGGCACCTGTAGTCCCAGCCACTTGGGAGGCTGAGGCAGGAGAACCGCTTGAACCTGGGGAGACAGAGGTTGCAGTGAGCCAAGATCATGCCACTGCACTCCAGCCTGGGCAACAGAGAAAGACGCTGTCTCAAGAAAAAAAGGAAAAAAAAAAAAATACACACACACACACACACACACACACACACACACACACACACTTCCTTTATCAGGGTGCTCTGTGTGAAAAGTCCATTTAGACACATAATCTTTAGAGTCAATTTTTATAGCGTCACTGAGTTTGTTTCCAAAACTAAGGCCTAAGGAAAGCAACTCTGCCTTAGGGACGTTCCGATTTATGACTTAAGTTAATGTAAAACAGAAAAATGATGGGTCACATATGCCATCTACTGGTAAGAGAAAACAAAACTCGTATTTGTAGATTCAAAAAGTTTTTAAAGTATTTAAAGGGACTTAAAACTTCTTAAAGTGAATATTCAATGTATTTTCCTTCATAAACATTTGTAGTAGATCCATAGAATGTAAAGAATTTCAAAGTTTAAATTAGAATGCTATGTTACACAATCCAAGTCATGATCTGAAATACAACTAGGTCAAATAGGTTTAAGTAGTTTCATGGCATCAAGTCTTTTCTCAAACTTTCTCACATACAATGCCACTTACCAAAAGAGGACAAGCTTTAAAAAGGTGGGTATCGTTCATTCATTCAAATTCAATGCCACTGGTGAAAGAACATATCATAGCTAGCTTTACTGACAGAGTAGTACAGGTTGAGTATCAAAAATCCAAAACTTTTTGAGCACTGACATGTCGCTCAAAGTAATTGCTCATTGAAGCATTGAAGCATTTCAGATATCTGATTTTTGGATTAGGGATGCTGAAATGATAAGTACAATCCAAATATACCAAAATCCGAAAAAATCCAAAACACTTCTGGGTCCCAAGCATTTTGGATAAAGGATACTTAACCTGGATTACCATCTTTATACCAGAATAACAGCATGTATCTTCAAAGAAGGCTATCTTTAGTGAAACCTAAGGACTATATTAGAAAGATGCTTATTAACATTTGTCTTTTGGAAATATTATAGATGAACATGAATGAGTACAATCGAAAAAAATCTCTAATTTTCCCTTTAAATACATTTCACAAAAACTACAAAGAAGGCTGTGCCGATTTTTCAAACTGAGCACAAATAGTCTCTCAGAAAAATCAACTTCCTGTTGCCACATTACCCATGTCTACATGAGGGAATATCCATTTCCCATCCTAAAGAGAATATCATGCATAGTGTACAAGAAAGAGTGGAAGATGAGGACAAGGGTGGATAAAATTCTACTGGCCACATTGCTATCCAAAAACCAAAGTTTGAAATTGAAAATATTCAAGCCTAGTTCAACTGTCATAGCAAATAATATTGAATAGGGATAGAAAACAACAAATAAAGTTAAAGAAATATATTTCTGGCCAGGTGTGGTGGCTCACACATATAATCACAGCACTTTGGAGGCTGAGGCAGGCGGATCATGAGGTCTGGAGTTTGAGACCAGCCCAACCAATATGGTAAAACCCCGTCTCTCCTAAAAATTCAAAAATTAGCTGGGTGTGGTGGCACATGCCTGCAGTCCCAGCTACTTGGGAGGCTGAGGCAAGAGAACTGCTTGAACCTGGGAGGCAGAGGGTTGCAGTGAGCCAAGATTGTACCACTGCACTCCAGCCTGGGTGACAGAGCAAGACTCTGTCTTGAAAAAAAAAAAAAAAAGAAAAAGAAAGAAATAAATAAATATATTTCTAATTCAGCATTTACCCAACAAGTCACCCCGAAAAGAGATTAAAAGAGCTGTGGGAAAACAGCAGCACTTTGGTTTGTACCCAATTCCTAACATATCTGCATCATTCTCAGTTGTTCTCACTGCTGGATAACATGAGCTCAAATACTCACATGCACATTTATTTGCAGAGTTATGCCAGACATCCATTGGATTTCTTTGTTTGTGCCGAAACGCCTCTTCAACTCTAGTTTCTGTCTTCCGAGCTCCAGTACTATGAGGATTTATTTGTTCTGCTGTTACTGATAAGCCTGCAAGCAGAAGATAAGCAATACCTATTTAAATATTCCCAGCTACATAAACCAACAAGGTTTTTAAAAAATCTGAAATACAAAACTGAGTTTTAAAGTCATTAATTATACTTGGGCAGTTTGCAACTCCAGTGGAAGCAGTGTTTTGTTTTAAGATGGGTAAGAAACTTAGATATAAAATCATAAAAATAGAACAATCTGGCAGGCCATGTTTCCACTTAATACACAAAGAGGCCCTATTTTTACTCATTTTAATTCACAAAGGAGCACATTTTACATTATTATGACTGTGGAATAATAAGATTATATACTGTCCAAAAATATGATCTCTTGCCATCTTAGAATGTACAACAGTGTCTACAGTCCACTAAACCCCATTCCCATGATCTGTTTCAAAATGCTATTTGCTCCCTATTCCACCACACTGCAGTCAGTTTGGTTGTCCTGTGTTATATTCCTAAGACTAATCATTCTATCTTAATTTTCTACACTAGAGATTCATTTCTTCTATGTGGTCCATAAGTTGGTTTTTCTCCAAGTTCTCTCTGTAACCACTTTTCTTCTTACTCTAATCTACATGTTCTCCAACAAAGTACCATTATGTTCAGGTTTTACTACTATTACATAATAATTCTCAAGTCTCTATCTTTAGCCCAAATATCTCAGATCCATAAATACAACTTCTGATCCATATATACAACTCCTTGCTTGATATCTCCAACTGAATATCCTAAAGATAGATCAAATTAAAAATAACTGGTTTATCTTTCCCTGTAAATCAAAACAGTTCATTCTTATATATTCTCTATCTAGATTGTTAGAGTATTAGCATCTACTGAGTCACCCAACCAGTAACAGAGCAGCGTTTTTATTCTTCCTTCACTTCACAGTGTTATACATCCTTGAAGCTACATCGCACTTATATTAACCTCTTCTATCTCCCTTCTTACTTCATTAATTAAAACCCTGGACTACTCCAATAGGTTTTTGTTCCCCAACAGCTTTACTGAGATACAATTTATATAACATAAAAATCACCTGTTTTAAGTGTACAACAAATAGTTTTTAGTAGATGTATAGAATTGTAAAATCACCATAGCAATACAATTTTAGATAACTGTCCCAGGCAACCACTTCTCCACTTTTTGTCTCTACAGACTTGCCTTTTCTGGAAATCTCATATAAAAGAAATCATATAACATGTAGTTTTCTATGTCTGGCTATTTTTACTTAGTATAATGTTTTGCGTTTCTTTGTTGAGACAAGGTCTTGCTCCATCACCCAGGGTGGACAGCAGTAGCACGAACATGGCTCACTGCAGCCTCAACCTTCTGGGCTCAAGCAATCCTCCCACCTCGGCCTCCTAAATGGCTGGGATCATAAGTGTACATCACCATGCCCAGCTAATATTTTTCATTTTTTGTAGAGATAGTGTCTTGCCACGTTGCCCAGGCTGGTCTCAAACTCCTTAGCTCAAGTGATCCTCCAACCTCTGCCACTCAAAATGCTGGGATTACAGGGGTGAACCACCATGTTCAGCCAGCATGTTTTTGAAGTTTATCCATGTTGTACTGTGCATCAGTACTTTGTTCCCTTTTATTACTAAGTAGTACGGCCTTGTATGAATATCCTATGTTTTCCTAACCCATTCAGCAGCTGACAGACATCTGGGTTGTTTCCAGTTTGTGGTTATTATAAACAATGCTCCTAAGAACATATTAAGTGTTTATGTGGACACATATTTTCATTTTTCTTCTGTAGATTCCTGAGAGTAGAATCACTGGGTCATATAGCAAATCCATGTTTAACTTTACAGAAATTGCCAAATCCTTTTCAAATGGGCTCCAACAGTTTTTAAACTGATCTCTCATCTTCCTGCCCTGGCACACTGAAACCATGCTACTTCTTGCCACCAAGGCAATTCAACCAATTCATTCTACTGCTTAAAATTCTTCAATGACTTCTCTTGCCTATGGCTATCAAACTTTAGTGAATCTAAAAACTATTGGATAGTCTGTTCAAATAAGATTTCTTGGCTTTATATTCTCAGAGAATCTAATTCATAGGTCTAAGCTGATGTAACAGGTAGACATTTTTGAAAACATTGATCTACAAGATAAAGTAAAAGCTCCTTAGCACGGCACTGATTTATTCAAATATTTACTGAAAACCTGTTATATATCAGACAGAGTTCTAGGGACTGAAGTAGAGCTGTAAACAAGACATTCAAAGTGCTGATATCCTAAATAAGGAAGACATGACCAAAAACCAACCAATATAATGTCAAATGCTACCAAAGCTTCTATTAGATTAGGGAGTCAGGGAAGAGCTCCCTAAAATGGCAGAAGTTTCTTCATAATTTTGGTGTCCTGGACCCTACACCTCTTGAGCCCTATTTCCAGCACTCTGTATATCTTTAGCAATACCCGTTTAAAGATCTTCTAATACACATCAAGCTATTTCACATCTCTGTGCCTTTACATGTGCTGTTGTTTTCTGTGCCTCCCTAGTCCATTAGAAAGAACATTTCTATATTCACTCATTACTATGATCAAAATGCTGGATTCCCTACTAAGAAGTCTCTTCTCTGTGCTCTGAACATGCTTCAACCAGTGCATACAACACACTGTACTTGATTTGTTTAACCTTTCTTTCTCTCCTACTAAGATGTGAGTTCCTCAAGGATGAGATTATAAACTGAATCGACAAACCACAGTTGCTAATTCTGTGTTTCTAATAACAAAATTGCATATAAATTTCAACAGGGAGGGAAAAACAATATTCCTAAACAGGCTTTTAAAGTACCAGAATGTAAACTGATGAAAAATAAAACCTTTTCATACCTAATATCTAAATCCATTTAGAAATCAATTCTTAAAAAAGATATACTCCTACAAAAGAAATTTCACTAGGAAACACTTTATTTCTGTAATACTATCACAGTAAAACTTTCACAGAACGTAAAGTTTTAAAATATCTTTGAGAATGTACATAACACATTAGTATCAGAAATTAAATAAAGGTGGTAACTCAAAATACATTATTTTCATAATACCAGCAACCCTAAAGAAACGTCATTCAAGGACTCTTGGCCTGACCAGAACACACTAGGCTTCAGTACCAAGTTTATTTCTACAACTTACCTCTTTTTATTCTTGCTTCCTTAATTTCCTCACAAAGTTTATTAAATTCTGGATCTAATTCAGCTGCAATGATGGCATGTGCAGTGTCCTTCAGGGTACAAGCCCTGTGCCTAATTATTTTATCTGTTAAAAAAGTTGGTATACATTTATTATGGAAACAAATAAAATAACATTAACAAAGGGTATCTTAAAAAGCAAAAGAATACAAACTAAGAATTTTAAAAATCTTAGATGTCTCTCAAGTTGACATTAGTCAAAACTATGCTAAATAATCCAATATATCACAAGGGTAACTTATTTTTTTAAATGTGACCAAAAACAGAGAAATAAAGAAAGTCTTTCTAACTTAAAGAATGCAAGATGATATATACATTGTAGGTAGATCCAGGAGAGAAGCATAAACACGGTTCCAGGTAAACTATACCTAAAATGGTACTAAAAGAAGAGCCTCTGCTTCCATTCATACATAAACGGTACAACATAAACGGTGCCCCCTAGACCTGTGCTACTCAGAAATATGAAAAGGCAAGTAATATATCAAGGTAACTAATATTCTAACAGTATCAAGAGCAAGAATTCAAAGTTGCGATGCTGGGAAGATGGCCGCCTAAGAACAGCTCAGGACTTCAGCTCCCAGTGAAAGTGCAGAGGGTGAGTGGACGTCGCATTTCCAGACGAACTCTTATTGCCCACAGACCAGGAGATACCCAGGCAGAGGGGTCGCCAGCGTCACAGTCCCAGCCGGTGCAGCTGTTTTGGCCCCCACGGGGCTGATTCCGCCCGTGCGGCTGCTGTGACCACGCCCTGTTGCTGCGGTTCTCTGTACAAAAGCCACTGGTCTGGGAGCCCTCTTAGCTGGCGAGCAGAGCCCTGAGACGGCAGAGTTGCCCATTCATCTGAAATAGGGAGTCAGGCCAGGAGATTCCTAGGCAAAAAATCTGCCAGGAGCCGGCGCCGCAGTTCGAGCCGACTCCGTGAGTCGCAGCACGGGAGACCCCGGTGCCTTTTCAACAAGCGACCAGAACGCGGGGTTGTTCAACTTAAAAGAAAAGACTCTGAGTCAGGGAGCCAGGTGATCAGGCTCGGTTGGTCCCACCCCTCCACCCCCAACAACAACGAAAACAAAAACAGTAATTGGAAACCCTCTGGGTTGAGCCCTTCAAACCAAGCACAGCTGAACCCGGACGGTCCAGCTCGGTGGGGGAGGGGCTTCCGCCATTACTGAGACTCTCCACCACTAGGGAGGCAGGCTGCCGTTGCCGAGGCAACCCGCCGTTGCCGAGGCAACCTGCCACAACAGAGAGAGTCCGCCATAACAGAGGCGGGGCCACCATTGCCGAGACAGTTCTAACTACGCCCATATAAAAAGGACTACAGGGAAGAGCTCAGGGCAGCTGGGCGGAGCCCACAGCAGCTCAGCAAAGCCCCTGCGGGCAGGCAGTGGCTAGTCCTGCTGCTAGCTGGGCGGGTCAGACCTGAAAGAAAAATCAAAAAAGGCAGTAGTACAACGGAAACTCATAAAGCTCCAACTCTCTGGGACAGAGACAGACAACAGGTGGATAAACCCACAAAAATGGGAAGAAACCAGCGCAAAAAGGATGAAAACTCCCGAAACCAGAACACCTCTCCTCCTGAAAGGGATCACAACTCCTCACCAGCAAGGGAACCAGACCGGATGGAGAAGGAGGGTGATGAAATGACAGAATCAGACTTCAGAAGGTGGGTAGTAAGAAACTACAGTGAGCTAAAAGAACATGTTCTAATCGAACGCAAAGAAAATAGGAACCTTGAAAAAAGATTGGACGAACTGCTGACGAGAATGGACAGCATAGAGAGGAGTATAAGTGAATTGATGGAGCTGAAAAACGCAACACGAGAACTTTGTGAAGCATGCACAAGCTTCAACAGCCGAATTGACCAAGCAGAAGAAAGGATATCAGAGGTCGAAGATCAACTCAATGAAATAAAAAGAGAAGGCAAGAACAGAGAAAAAAGCGCAAAAAGGAATGAACAAAATCTTCAAGAAATGTGGGACTATGTGAAAAGACCTAATCTACGTCTGATAGGTGTACCTGAATGTGATGAAGAGAATGAATCCAAGCTGGAAAATACTCTTCAGGATATTATCCAGGAAAACTTCCCCAACCTAGCAAGGCAGGCCAATATTCAAATCCAGGAAATACAGAGAACACAAAGATATTCCTCAAGAAGAGCAACCCCAAGGCACATAATCGTCAGATTCACCAGGGTTGAAATGAAAGAGAAAATGCTAAGGGCAGCCAGAGAGAAAGGTTGGGTTATCCACAAAGGGAAGCCCATTAGACTCACAGCAGATCTCTCAGCAGAAACCCTACAAGCCAGAAGAGATTGGGGGCCAATATTCAACATCCTTAAAGAAAAGAACTTTCAACCCAGAATCTCCTATCCAGCCAAACTAAGCTTCATAAGTGAAGGAAAAATAAACTCCTTTGTGAACAAGCAAGCACTCGGAGATTTCATCACCACCAAACCTGCTCTACAAGAACTCCTGAAAGAGGCTCTACACATATAAAGGAACAACCAGTACCAGCCACTCCAATAACACTAACCAACAAAACAGCCAGGTAGCATCAAAATGACAGCATCAAATTCACACATAACAATACTATCCCTAAATGTCAATGGACTAAATGCCCCAATCAAAAGACACAGACTGGCAAATTGGATAAAAAGCCAAAACCCATCAGTGTGCTGTATCCAGGAAACCCATCTTACATGCAAGGATACACAAAGGCTCAAAATAAAGGGATGGAGGAAGATCTACCAAGCAAATGGAGAGCAAAAAAAGGCAGGAGTTGCAATTCTCATCTCTGATAAAATAGACTTTAAAGCAACAAAGATCAAAAGAGACAAAGAAGGACATTACATAATGGTAAAAGGATCACTGCAACAAGAAGAGCTAACGATCCTAAATATATACGCACCCAATACAGGAGCACCCAGATACATAAGGCAAGTTCTTAATGACTTACAAAGAGACTTAGACTCCCATACAATAATAGTGGGAGACTTTAACACCCCATTGTCAATATTAGACAGATCATCCAGACAGAAAATCAACAAGGATATCCAGGACCTGAATACAGACCTGGAACAAGCAAACCTAATAGACATTTACAGAACTCTCCACCCCAAATCCACAGAATATACATTCTTCTCAGCACCACATCACACCTACTCTAAAATTGACCACATAATTGGCAATAAATCGCTCCTCAGCAAATGCAAAAGAACAGAAATCATAACAAACGGTCTCTCAGACCACAGTGCAATCGAGTTAGAACTCAGAATGCAGAAACTAACTCAGAACCGCACAGCTTCATGGAAACTGAACAACTTGCTCTTGAATGTTGACTGGATAAACAATGAAATGAAGGCAGAAATAAAGATGTTCTTCGAAACCAATGAGAACGAAGACACAACATACCAGAATCTCTGGGACACATTTAAAGCAGTCTCTAGAGGAAAATATATAGCAATGAGTGCCCACATGAGAAGAAAGGAGAGATCGAAAATTGACACCCTATCATCAAAATTGAAAGAGCTAGAGGAGCAAGATCAAAAAAACACAAAACCTAGCAGAAGACAGGAAATAACTAAGATCAGAGCAGAACTGAAGGAAATAGAGACACAAAAAACTCTTCAAAAAAATCAATAAATCCAGGAGCTGGTTCTTTGAAAAGATCAACAAAATAGACCACTAGCCAGATTAATAAAAAAGAAAAGAGAGAATAACCAAATTGATGCAATAAAAAGCGATAAAGGGGATATCACCACAGATTCCACAGAAATCCAAACCATCATCAGAGATTATTACAAACAACTCTATGCACATAAACTAGTAAACCTGGAAGAAATGGATAAATTCCTGGACACCTGCATCCTCCCAAGCCTAAACCTGCAAGAAGCCGAAACCCTGAATAGACCAATAACATGGTCTGAAGTCGAGGCAGCAATAAAGAGCCTACCACCCAAAAAAAGCCCAGGTCCAGATGGGTTCACAGCTGAATTCTACCAGACATACAAAGAGGAGCTGATACCATTCCTTCTGAAACTATTCCAGACAATCCAAAAAGAGGAAATTCTTCCCAAATCATTTTACGAGACAAACATCATCCTGATACCAAAACCCGGCAGAGACTCAACAAGAAAAGAAAATTTCAGGCCAATATCCATGATGAAAATAGATGCAAAAATCTTCAATAAAATACTGGCAACCCGATTGCAACAGCATATCAAAAAGCTCATCCACCATGATCAAGTAGGATTCATCCTGGGGATGCAAGGCTGGTTCAACATACGCAAGTCCATAGACGTAATTCACCACATAAACAGAACCAAAGACAAAAACCACATGATTATCTCGATTGACGCAGAGAAGGCTTTTGACAAAATTCAACAACCCTTTATGCTAAAAACCCTCAATAAACTAGGTATTGACGGAACGTATCTCAAAACAATAAGAGCTATTTACGACAAACCAACAGCCAATATCATACTGAATGGGCAAAAACTGGAAGCATTCCCTTTGAAATCTGGCACTAGACAAGGGTGCCCTCTCTCACCACTCCTATTCAATATAGTACTGGAAGTTCTAGCCAGAGCAATCAGGCAAGAAAAAGAAATAAAGGGTATCCAAATTGGAAAGGAGGAAATCAAATTGTCTCTATTTGCAGATGACATGATTGTATATCTGGAAGATCCCATCATCTCAGCCCAAAATCTCCTGAAACTGATAAACAACTTCAGCAAAGTCTCAGGATACAAAATCAACGTGCAAAAATCACAAGCATTCCTATACACCACCAATAGACTTCAAGAGAGCCAAATCAAGAATGAACTGCCATTCACAATTGCTACAAAGAGAATAAAGTACCTAGGAATACAACTAACAAGGAACGTAAAGGACCTCTTCAAGGAGAACTACAAGCCATTGCTCAACGAAATAAGAGAGGATACAAACAGATGGAGAAACATTCCATGTTCATGGTTAGGAAGAATCAACATCGTGAAAATGGCCATACTGCCCAAAGTAATTTACAGATTCAATGCTATTCCCATCAAGCTACCAATGACCTTCTTCA